CTCTGTCCTCCATCTTGCACTGCGCAGCATCAGCATCAGTAGGTACCGGACACAGGGACTGATATGAATATCGTCCTGAATGTCAAATCTTCGATATCACGAGGCACGATGCACTCAGCCACAATGGCACCGTCGTAGGAACTGGCATGCACGATTCACGTGACACTTCGTTCGCATGGTCCCATGTGACCTACAAACAAGCCCAACATGTCAACAACCCCGCGCCCCGCTCGTGAACCGCCAAGATGCCCCGCGGTGCGGCCGCCGCGCGGCGGGTGGCTCGTCTTTCTTAGTTCTTCAACTTGACGCCAGATGGGAGTCATTAGTCAATGACAACGGCTAATTACCGTCGGTCGGAAATTGCGGCCCTCAGGACGCCGACAGTGTCGAACGATCTAGTTCCCGGATGATGTTTAACCCGCGCCCCGTAGGGCTACCGGCGGACCCTACCACCCGTAGGGGGGGGGGCGTTTCGGCCCCCCCCCCCTCCTAAGATCTCGGAAAGTTACCGGCCGATTTTCAAAATTCAAACGGCGTTCGATAGCCCCACCCGGGAACTACCTTGTGACCAAATTTCATTGACCTAGGTCAAACCGATGACGTCACAGGTCAGGTCAAAGGTCAGATTTTCACCGTTCACAGGCAATTCAAGAAATGTGCTGTGAAAGCGAGTAAATTGGTAATTTATTGAAAAACATCGATGGTACATTGTTCGTCAAACACATACTTTGCTATATGAGGTCACTGATACCAGGTCAGGTCACAGCGAGGTCAGGTCACCGGGGGTCACAATATGAATGTGTCGTGTGATACATGTTTTATGGTCCATTTTACATGACAAATGCGATTATGTGGGTTAGGCATCCTTTGGGGCCAGCCTAGGTCACGTTTTGGTGAAGGTCAGGTCAAGGTCAGGTCAAATTAGGTCAAATTTCAAAGTTGATATTTTTGCATAAAATGGGTATCGATTCCATGCAGCTTGTCACGGGGAGTCTAATGGTGGTCTTCGTTTTGCTCTACGAGTTCTAGAATTGCCAAAAATTGAGTTTGAAAATTTGACGTCATCATTTTTGAACAGTTTTTTCGCTATAACTTGGCCAAAAAACGAGGTATCGATCTGAAATTTGGTATGTAGATAGAAGATGGTAGGCACTATCACATATATTCCGGTTTTTTTCGGAACTCCAAAAACTTTTTGGATTTTTTGGCGAATATATCCAAAAAAATGCTTTTTTGATTTTGGGGGTCAAAACTCAAAAATTTCAAAAATTCGAGATAGCAGTTTTGTAGCCCTGTCAATTCTACACCTTTCATGTCTTGATCATTTTTCTGTATCTTCAAAGCTGTAGTCCTGACACAGACAGGTCTTCTCGCGAAGGTCTTTTTTCGGTCGAAAATGACAGAACATGACGTCACTCTGACGTCATTTGTGGCCAACCTATCATAGCCTCTGGTAAAATTTTTGGTCACAATGTGTAAAATTGATGCTCGGAGGGGTCCTGAAAGTTTGGTGGCGATATCTCCAGCCGTTTAGGAGATATCGACCGAAAAGGACAGGGGGGGGCCGTTTCGGCCCCCCCCCCCCTACGGGGCGCGGGTTAATAAAAAAATTAATGAACGTGTTGATAGACGATAGTTACCAAGGTAGGTTTGCATTGCACATTGCATAAAATGATAAATGATAGTTAATGTAAAGTATAACCTTATCCAACAGCATAGTATGTTCACATACCTAGGTCAGACGACTCATTCCATCCATTTTTATCCTCTCCGTCGACCTATTACCTACATACATCTTTTTTTTGCAAACGGTCCGCGCCGAGCGAGGGGGCAGGAGACGTTTCGCCCTCGACGTTTCGCTCGTAATTGAGCTAGAGTTTTACCGAAAAAGGGGCGTGTGCGCCGCAACGAGACGCAGCTATTGGCACCCGATTTTAATGTTTCAGGTCAACTGGTGACCTCTTAGGGCAACTAAGGTAAGGGTTCGGTCTTTGGTAAACAGGTTAGCGCGGACGCCGATTGGGCTTAGTTTTGACTTTCTACCGTATTTAATGCTTTATTTATAAATAAACTTGGACTAGCGAGAGTCGCATCTGAATAAGAATTTTTCGCTCTACAAAATTAGGTTATTTTTATTGTGATGGCATCACAGACTTCACCGCCAAACCCAGTAAAGTAGACATATGTCGTGTCCCCGGTGATTACTTGCCAAGTTTCTTTGGCATATAACTCAAAAAGTAAAACACCTTTGAGTGCAGCGACTATACGATGCTACAGAAAGTTGTATGGTATACGGAATGGTCCGCGTCACTTAACAAGTGTAGTATTTCGTCGCCAAACTCTCGTACATTCGTATGTCCACCTCTCTATGGAGTTTGGACCGTAACGCTGGCTTAGGTATCTTTCAAAATATTTTTACTGTTTTCCATGCTGGCATGTTTCACTTAAAGCGACTCAAAGTAATAACACGTTAAAAAAAAACATTCAATTGATAAGCGTGGTTGCAAGGCGCTCAGAGACCAGGCCCGGGCAGCGACTGACTGCCGACCGGCCGACTGACCCTTTGGCTGCAACCGCCAACCGGCCCCGGGTGGCTAGAATTCTAGCCAGCAATTTTGCTCCGGGCCCAAGCAGGCTCAAGTGCGGATTGCCCGAGATTTTTAGTCGGGCTAAAGTCGGCTAGGGCTTGGGCTAAAGTCGGCGTATGACACAGAAACGCCGACTAAAGCCCATGCTCTGCCGGAGGTATGCCCGCTCTGCGAGCTCCGGGCAGCCGTAGTTTAGCCCTAGTTGAGCGACGATTGGCGTTAGCCCGATTTAAGCCCGAGCAGTGAATCCATTTATATAATGGAAATTACTCTGGGCCCGAGCGGGCTGAACTCCGGCAAGCCCACTCTGTGTGCCCTGTCTATCCCGACTTAAGCCATAGAAGTGAATGGGGTTTATACATTGCAAACTGCTGTGGCTTTGCTCGGGTTCGGCTCGAGTGACGGCTCCTGTTTTCTCAAGTCTCGACTTGACTTCATCTTGCTTTTGATTCACACTGGATCAAGTAGCAAGGAGCAGCCAATGCACTTTCAGCAGGTTGTGTGGTTTTAATGCTTATTTAAAATTGCTACGGTCACTCATATGCTCTGTTAACCGGTCATCGAGCATTGCGAAAGGAAAGTAGTGGTTGACTTTGATTGAATGTTTATTTCAAAGGACTACAGACACGTCAAATTAAACACAAATACATGAAACAGTGGACTGCAAACTGCAGCAATAATATGGCATGAGTCATGAAAAAGCGCCATCAAAACTATAAACCAATCACAAGACCCGCTAGCCTTCCTCCCCGTTCGGCGTTCATAATACTTGGTTGAACACTTAACCGAAAGCATAAAGTAAGGACAGCAAGTAATCGCTCATAAAACGATAAAGTAATTAGCAAACAATCGTTTATAAAGAACTTCACTCTGGTGAATGGGAGCTTTGGAGGCGTCTGGCTCCTCCACACACACACACATCTGCAGTAGGTGGTCGGCCAGCTTTCGGCGCAGTTTCCGTATATGTAGGTATACCTAAGCAGGCAGTTTCCGCTAAACCACTTGGCGAGGGCGACAGCGGCGTCCACCCGGTCCTGGTTTGTATAACTATTCCATTTTTTGGATCAATTTGCTCTAATGGTACGTACCTGAAAAAGAGATCAATTGGTTTGACTTACATTTTACATTGCATGTTTGCTTGAAAAATAACTTATTGTTGCATTAATACTGTAACAGCACTTCTCATTGATCCGTATAAAATGTTCATTCGAATTTTTCAACGCGGACAGAGAATGAGCGTGCTCGGTGATAAGTAGATAAATATTTGTGTTTTGTATTTCATTTTCCTGGTTCAGAAGTGCTGGTATTTCACAAAGATATACATAATGGCACGGAATACGGCTTTTCTGAGCGAGGGTATAAGTCGCCAGGCTGAACAGCTATTCAGCTTCATGTTTGATGGCGTGAAACTCAGTCAAAATAATGACGTTTACATACGATCAAGCGCACCATTCAATACAATTACCTACCGTAAAACTCCATGCCAGTCCACTTGATAAGAGCAATGAGCACTATCCCTTCTTCGCGCTGTCACACGCGCCCAAACATCAACCACCAAATGCCCCAACACCGGTGTGTCGTTTCGTCGCACAGCGCGCAGACTGTCACAAACGCTGCACATGATTGGCGCAGAACTGCGCATGCGCGAACAGCCGAACAAGTATGGCTAAACTCCGGCTTTACTCCAGTTAGCCGAAGGACACAGCCAGCTTGATCAGCCCGCGCTCCGCCCAAGTTAAGCCTGTTTTGGATGCGTGGGCAGATGTCGGGCTGAGCTACTGCTATCCGCACGTGGGCATAGCTGCGGCATGCCCAAGCTCAGCCCTAGTAAAAAATACATTGGTTTTGATCAAAGTGGGCAAACCCAAGCTAAGCCCAAGCTGCCCGACGTTTGCCACAGTTCAGCCCAAGTGAATTGCTGGCTGGGAAGCGGGGGCCAGACGGGTTGTCCCGGATTCCGAGATGCTGCTGTGGTCCGATATGGGCCCTACCGATCTTTTCAATCATCATTTTAGCAGATTCAGCTCATTTTTAGACGGTATTCGGCAGTCTAAAGATTAGGGGTCTATTTGAGGCCCAGGCGGACGAACTTCGGACGCCTCAAATGGGCCCCCAGATTTGAATGGGGGGCATGAGTCCGTATGCCCCTCCCTCCTCACCCCTGTATGCGCCTTGTTTTTTTATCAATTAAAAATGTGTCTATGCTTTGGGACAAGTTTCGAGACTAATGACTTGGGAAGGGATGATGCGAGATTGCTAGCACTGTTTCTCGGTCTGTTTTTTTTTTTTCAAGAAAATCACACACCTTTGGTGACATTTGAGCTGAATTAAATTATTTCGATAATATTTTCTTAAATAAATAAAATGGAGATAGAGGCCAGAAAGTCATTTTGATGTATATGACGAAATAAAATATTTTGCGTGTTTGTTTAACGACAGCGCTGTCAAGTCCTTTCCGATTGTTGGTCCGTGTTGTGGCGCACCAGCAATAAAATTTTGCAATCATGGGTCGTATGCACACACCCGGGTGAGCTAATTTTGTTTGTTATAAATGCGCATAGTTGCTTATCATATTTTTTTTGAATGATTTTCGTTATCATTTATTTTCCGCCCATTGTTTGACAAGTTTGTTATTGTGTGTGCGTCATAAGTGTATTGCATCCTTTCGACTGGGATATACAGGTTGATTTGCATTTTGCAAAGTTTTCATTGAATGTAAATTTTCTATAAATTCATTCTGGTTTAAAATTTGCCTCTTTAAAGGGAAACGGGCTATGCTTTTACTGTTGTGCGGGTTCTCCAGGCTGAAAAACATGGCAGGTTTTGACGAGATCTCGTCGGGGCAGCTCACTATCGGGGCAGGAATGAGAAATATCGAGGCAGAGATAAGAAAAAGATGGGAGCTGGGCTGCCCTGGGACAATTATCCCATTTGGGAACAAGAATTGGGCTGCAACGGGGCTCTCAGCAGTCAGCACCCTGATTCAGGGCAGAATTTTGTCTGCCCCGAAAATCTTGTCAAGCTCCCTGCCACCTTTTGCAGACTGGCGGGTTCTACATGGAGTATTTGTCCTGTCTGTCCCGTAGCTCGGTTGAGCACCGGACTCCCGGTAGTGAGAGCCCAGGTTCGAGTCGCTCCGGCGCTTGATATTTGAGACTCCTGACAGGGATGGTCTGTTGTTGGTGGGAGCAGCCGCAGCTATGAAGTCAGTTGAGTGGGACAGGCCGTGTCCGGCTTTTAAGGCCACGTTAAACTTTGGCATCTAAATTCTCCTTTTACCCGGAATTGCGTGATAGGATGGTAGGGGCCGGAGTCTACGCACAATATGAGCAGTAATTGCCAAGCACTTTGTATGTGGATCGCTCTTGAATGTAAATACAAATACAAGCTCTGCTGAGTGTGGGCCCTGGCTCTGTCAATCCATCCATTCAAACATTCGAGCTAAATTTATAAAAAAGTATCATGGACCCTGAGCTTGATACCTACCTACCTAGGTATCTTCCTACTGTACCAGACTGCTGTGTGGGCACATTGTATTATGTGGGTCATTTTGTCTCTTGACACCCTGTTAAAACTGGACAAATTGGCTAAATAAGAACATGTAAGGACACATTCTTGTAAGCTTAAAAGTGAGATATTGCATCAATACCTACTTGTTACTTTTTACACAAGTCAGTCTTAAGTTACACCCATCTACCCATTGATTCAGGTAAGGTGAGGATATGCTAGGTGGGCGTGGGGTAAGGTCAGGTTAGATAAGGTTTTGCTATTTCTGGTTGAAGTGTGCCTGCTTTTTTAGGAGTAAATAATTTTTTAAGCAATTTTCTAGGCTAACCCTGTTGGTGGCAGGCTCCTGGCTACCCCTATTAGTGGCAGGGGGTGTGTGTAGGACCCCCTTTGATATCTCAAGATTTAACTGCCTAATTTTCAAAACTCATTTTGAACAAGAAAAGTCTCTAAAAAGCAAGTAGGGGGAAGTAGGAGGGGAGATATAAATGCAAATTTCAGATGCTTTTTCAACGTTTTCAACCAATTTTGACGCAACTACTGCCAATTGATGCAGAATGAACCAGAAATTAACACGTAGTATTAAAATTGGCATTTCATAAAGTCATAGGCTATACAGGACATAAATGGATTTGTGAAATGGGAGGTACTTGAAATACATAAAAATTCAAGTTTTTTGTTGGTGCTTCACCAAAACTGATTGGCAATGGTCTTATGATGTTACAAAAATTTAAAATATGTGATAGAATGACTGAAAGAAGATTGGTTATTCATAGGCGTTGTCAGGGCACTGAAGTTGGGAGATGAAATCGACCTCCCTTTCTTTCTCCTGGAACTGCCTATGATCCATCTCTTGGTCACTTTTGAACCTGTACTACCTACAGATAATGTTAATCTACCTACAGAATGAATACCTACAAGTATAATGCATCAACATTATGATCTTCACCCAAATGACTCGCTTCATGAATAGGACCTCCCAATTCCTGATGCCCTGGAACCACCCCTTATAAAGGTATCAGCTTGAAATTTTCAGGGAATGTGCCCGGTTTAGTCCTAGGAAAAGTCACAAAATTTCAGCATCCTAGCTCCAGCTGTTTGGATATATTCTTGAAAAACCTGGCATGTGGATGAAACCCCTTGCCACTAATAGGGTTAATATATCATCTCTGACAATATGGCATTGTTGCTGGCTTCTAAGTCCTAATCATTTTTGAGCCTAAAGTGCAAAAGGAGGATTAAACCATTAGCTGAGAAAATGTATGGGAGATGTAGTGGAGTCACTGGGGGAACCATTGGCTTTTTTGATGCTGTATTTTCACAAAATGTGGATGAGCATGCATTTGCAGTATAAGCATAGGCCAGTTTGGTCCAGGCTGGTGTGGATTTTCGATCCTGTTGATATGGGCTGGTGTCAATTAGTCACCCTAATTGTTGCTGCTTCTCAACTCTGTTGGCATGCTATGCAGTCCTGAACTCTGTTCGGTCGCTGTTTTTATTTCAGCATGCTGTCTGTTTCCCCTTATAAGGAAGCTATCGCTGGGGCTTCTTGGCCTCTCATTGGTCTATTGAATAGGCCACTTGAATTCGACCAATGAGCAGCCAATAAGTAGCAGCATGCTTGCAGCCTGCTGATAAAAAACTGTGACCGAAAAGCGCCCAGCATTTGTAAATTGTCAATCATTTTAACGGCATGTATTTTTAAAAAACATTTAGTGTTTAGTGACATTTAGTGTACGGCATGTATTAATGGCCATTCTTTCTATTTCAGAAAGGGTATTTCGCGGTCTGCCCTTCCGTACCGCCGAAGTGTGCCAACGTGGCTGAAGCTCACCTCGGATGATGTCAAGGAACAGATCTTCAAGCTGGCCCGTAAGGGTCACACCCCATCTGAAATTGGTAGGTACCTACCATATGATTACTTATATCATATGTTGACAAAAGCCCTTGACAGATTGTGAACTGCCAAAATAAATCTTACTGAAACATCTGCCTAGATTTACCATGGGCAAAAACTGGTGTTGTTCAGCTGTTACCCTTGTACCATATAAACTAGTAGCTTGTTAACTTGATGGATCCAGAAAGGCAGTGCTGGATGTTGTGGACTGGGATGAAAGGGCATTAGATGCGTGGAGGATTGGAATGTATCTGATAATAACTTGTAGACAGGAGTCACAGGATTAAATATAAAGAAATGACTGATGTTGCTGTACCATTAGCTGAAAAACAAATGGTGAGCATTTTCACCACTTATGACGTAAAATTTGTGCTACTATAATGGTATTTGATTGCAACTTCCATCCAAGTGATGCAATAGCACATTGAAGCTGGACAGCTTTATCAGAGTTGGCCAGTAGAAAAGTGTAACTATAAAATCAGTAGGTACTCGAATGCCTACTTGATGGCACCAAATATGTCAGCAATTGCTTCCCTTTCTAGATAAATATCCATAGTAACAAATTAGGGGTAACAAAGTAGCACTGGAGCCCTACATTTGTACAAGTGGGATACAAGCTCTCACAATATCAATGCACATGCATCAACCGCGACCGCAGCACTTCTTTCACAGCACCATTCTTTCTTAGGTTTGCCAGACTATAGAAACCCGCAGTATATCAAATTTGAGTGCAATCAGTCTAGCTGTTTGGCTGTGAAGGAGGTCCTGCACAAATGCATGGTATCTGGCTGGTCGCTAATGCTTAGAATCTACCATTGTCGCAAGAAATTCTCCAAGTAACTCTTGACTCTTGTAGTGCTCATATAAATATACCTCTGCCTGTCAATCAATGCCATTACAAATTTCATATTTAACGCAAGTGAATTCCATTTTCAGGTGTGATTCTGCGTGACACCCTTGGCGTCGCCCAGACCCGCTTTGTCACTGGCAACAAGATTCTGCGCATCCTGAAGAGCAAGGGCCTTGCCCCCGACATTCCCGAGGATCTGCACTGCATGATCAAGACGGCCATTGCCATCCGCAAGCATTTGGACAAGTTCAGGTGAGTGGCAGTTACTGTTTTTTATTGTTTCAGCTGCTTCAGTTTGTTAACAAATACAAGAAGAAAATGAGGTATCGTTGGTATCATGAACACACTAAGCACACTAATTTTACTTTTAAAGAACGATGAGGCTGGGTTGCGTTATTTCAAACTTGTGTTTGAAAGTTCTGATTGGGTGGCATGCTCCTGTCTTGGGCTGAGCCTTTGACACTGTAAGTTGTGATACACTTGAAATCAGCCTTATCTGCTGGCGTAAGCGTTTCCAAAACATAATACCCCACGACTCAAGAAAAAGGAATTTGAAATCGCTACTGCATCCGAAAATTTGAGAAGGAAGTTTGATTGTTTTCAATTGTAAAATCGCTAGATGCAAGCAGGGTTGTGCTCGACTAAAAAAAAATTGCCGACTCGACTCATCATTCAACTTCAGAATGCCCAACTCAACTCTGACTCAAACAAGGAGCTGATTTTTTCCCTTGAATCGACTCATGACTCAAGCGGCTCAATGAAAATGTGAGTTGACTCAAACTTGACTCAAATTTTTTGTTGAGTCAAATGTGTTGACTCAAAATTGACTCAGATAGAAAAGTTGTTGAGCGGGGGGGGGGGGGTGAAAAAATCCGGCAGCAGGGCCAGGCCTAAGTTATTAAGCGGGGGGAGGATGAAAAACTTATACCTACTATATATTGATTCTAGAAAGTTGAGTCAGCTGACTCATGTTCCTAAATGTTTTTGACTCAACTCGATGTCAAAAGCTATTTTACTGACTCAACTCTGACTAAACTCAACACCTTAACCCGGCGGCCGCTGGGCCTCCGCGCCACCCGCCGGCCGCTGGGGGGGGGGGGCATATAGTTGCCCCCCTTTACTTCTGCGACGATATCGTCGCAACGCGAAGCGATAGAGAAGCGAAACTTCGCACACATCTTCCTGAATACCTAGCCGAGGTTGTGTTCAAATTTGGTGTCAATCCCATTTGAAATGACGTCACAGTGACGTCATAAGTGAAATTATAGATTTGCGACTCTCATATTCCTCACGATACATCAGATATATGGGACCGAATATAAAGGGTCGATTATTGGTCAGAAACTAGATGGAAGTGTAGTTAGATGTTTTAGGATGACAGCAGGTGCTGTCTAGTTCATTTACAGTTGAGTTTCATGCTCAGCGTCATCAGAAACGGTCCATATCGGAAAACGACAAAACTTTATGACGTCACTGTGACGTCATCTTAGGTACTACAACCACCAAACTTTCCTCAAACATTGCCTAGGTATTCATTTGAAGCTATGCCAAGTTTCACGTTCGTAGCTCATCAGGTTTCGGAGATATTTCACAAAACGTAAGGGGGGGGGGGCAACTTTATGCCCCCCCCCAGCGGCTCGTGGGTTAATATTTTTGTCCGACTCAACTCTGACTCAACTCAACAGCTCAACATTTTATCCGTCTCGACTCAAATCTGACTCATTTGAGTCAGAGTTGAGTCAAATTTCTGACTTGACTCATGAGTCAAGCACAACCCTGGATGCAAGTCACTAAATTTATCGGATTAATTATCGGTGAACAGTGTCGTTCATTTTCGTGCCGTAAGAACATTTGAGTATGGAGTGTTAGCAGACTGCAATTCCAAATTTATTATGCTTCGGCGGAGTGTGATTTTGTCAATGATTGTTATTGGTATAAATGTGCCCTGTTATTTTGTCTTAGCTGTCACAAAGGTTCGGTAAATGATGTAATTGCAAGCTACAAAGAAGTGATCCTAAGCCTACAGCTCCGACCGTTCCAATTCTTCAAGCACTGATCACTTGTGTTATGATCTTTTCAATGTCGCCCCATGCACTAATCGTATTGGATTTTGTTGCACAAGTGAAGCCTTATTGCAATTAGTCCGTGTAGTACTCGCATTCCACGGAGTTGTATTTGCAATTAACTCCTCTTTGTCCCCATGTGTGGCCGCAGGAAGGACAAGGACTCCAAGTTCCGTCTGATTCTGATCGAGTCGCGGATCCACCGGCTGGCGCGCTACTACAAGAAGAAGCAGGTGCTGCCGCCCACCTGGAAATACGAGGCCGCTACCGCCTCGGCCCTCATCAGCTAGGTTCCACGCCGCCCTACGTGACATGTGACGCGATAAATAAAAAAAACTTCAAAAACTGCCTTTTAATCGTTAGTCAATGATCTTGGAGGCAAAGAGTGCTTTTAGCAGACATTTATTTTACATAAAGCGAGTGATACACACGTTTCGTACAGCGAATCGGAGACGAACACGAGCGACGTTGGTCCTGATCAGGAGTACCGCGACTCCTACAGCCCCTTCTGCACCGTCTTCCATTTGGCCACCAGCTTGTCGACGCCTTTCTTCTTGTGAATCAGCGCGGTAGCAGTCATTGCACCCTGAAGCGCGAGAATGTTTGGGAACCGTAAATGCTGGAGAGCCGCACTTGCGATTTTCCGAGGTCCGCTGGCTAGCCGAGATTTCACTCAATATACCCTGAGCCGGGATAGGGAAATAGTTCACCATACGAAATAATACTGTTGACAGCAGGGATCTCGGACTAGCGAGCAAGACGCGCAATGCGCATACGTAGTTGGGGAGGGGACATCGCACATTAGTAGCAAATGTACATGGATCGAGATATTAGATCTTATTCGAAGCTGGATATTGAATCGAGAATCGAAGTAGCAGATGGCGAGCAGTTATTCATGGGAACCAAGCACGCAGAACAAGATGGACCGACCAATCAACATTGCTGGGACACCTGAATCAGACTGAGTTTGGTCACGAATATAGCTTTACGTCCCTGTCACTTTCCGGTGGATTCGATTATAAATCCAAAGGCATTGGTTCGAGACGATCCCGTTCGAATTCACACTACACTACTGAACTGTAGTTCTCGCGTTGCTCGATTTTGTTAGGGGCGTGTGAAAATTTTTGCTTTTCTAATGACGAATAAAGTCTGGCGACAATGGCGACAAACTACTCCATGGCTCCCGCAATTTCGCTTCTAGATAATAGAATTATGGCCGCAAGAATGGCATTGTCATTTTGTAATAGGATTCCATATATCAGGGAATTCGATGCCCATATTAGACGGAACAAACGCTTTTGAAAAATTGGGGAACGTAATATACCGTTACATGGTAATACAGCTGGCCTAAAGTAAGAAAACGCAAAAGTATAGCCTTAAACACCTTGCCGCACACCTCACCTTTTTCTTTTTCTTCTTGTGCCTGTCGGCGGTCTCTACCGCTGCTGCTGCCGTTTCCTCGGGCTGGGGCGGCGGCGGTGACGGCGTGGGCGGCAGCGGCGGCTCCGGCTCGGCAGGGGCCGGGGCGGCTGGCAGCGGCAGCGCCGACACCTCGTTCAGCAGGCCCACCTCCGAGTAGAAGCTGTCCAGCTCGGAGAGCAGCTGCTGCCCGCGCTGCGGCTCCGGCTGCGGGGGCTCCTCCGGCGGTGGGGGCGGCGGCACTGGCAGCGGCACATCGGGCTCCTCTCCGGGCGGCGGAGGCTCGTAGGAGGACAGGGACGGCGGCGGCGGCGCCACGGGGAACCGAGGCGGAGGAGGGGGCTCCAGCCGGAACCGGCCCTCGAACTTGGGCGGCGGCGGAGGGACGGGCAGCGCGCCGTCACCGGCCGGCGGCGAGGGCTGCTTCTTCAGCACTCCCGGTGGCGGGGTCGGAACGGGGCCCAGCGATGGAGGTGGAGGGGGAGGGACGGGTTTCTGGGGAGCTGGGAGGGGAGGATCCACTGCAGGCGGCGCCACCGGAGCCGGGGGAACTGGAGTGGACGGGACAGGGGCAGGGACGGCAGAGGGCGCCGCTGCAGGCTCCATCGCGGCAGCCGGCTTTTTCTTCTTCTTGTCGCGCTTTTTGTGTGCCGGGTCTGCAGGAGTACGGCCAGTCTCTGCAGATGAGAAAATTGTCGATCTTAGTACCGGTGATCAAAATAAATCACTACCGAGACACATTAGACCACCACTTCTCAAATTTGCCCCCTGACCTGAACAGTTGTTCTCAAACGGCGCATCTAAACAGTAAGTGGTTGAATTACGTCATGTTCAAATGTTCAGTTCAGCTCGATTGCAAAGTCTCTGATGCCACCTTAGCCCAAAATACAACTATTTATCCCACCCTTATTCCGTGCTTAAATGCCTGACAATTGACCGCTCGAAGCAGTGGACAAACTCACCCGACTTTGGCTCCATGTCGGGATAGTCGTTCTGCTCCCGGCCCGTCTTCAGGTTGGTGTACGTGTACCGTTTGCGGGTCCTGCCGGTCGGACGGGCGAGGGATTAGAGTGCGGCACGGACAGGCGATCTCACATAGAGGGGCGGGCGGGGTGGATACTCACTGTCGGCGGCTCTCACCCCAGAGAGACAGGAGACTGGACCCTGACTATTCACCTGCCGGCACAGGGCAAACAGCTGAGGTGGCGGTACGTACATACAGCAAGACAGACGACTGTAAATGGCCACAGGCTGTGGCACATAACCTGTCAACATATGTATGCTTTTTTTCGACGAATGATTGTTCTTTTGAGAAACAACAGCACTCTCAACATAATCAAACGTTCAGCGTATTGCGTATGACTGGCATTAAATTACACACTCATATCTGAGACGCAGACGTGATACTGACTTTTGAGCAATTCAGAAAGAGAAGAAATCAAATCAGCAAAACACTCGTGCATATGAAAACAGTACGCGGTAAATCCATGATAGCATGATAGGAACTCCAAATGCAGAAGAGCAAGTCTCTATCTGAGAACACAGAAACACGAATGGACTAAGTAGGGGGCGAGGGGATCATAATCAACAGGTGTATACAATATAACTTGCAAGGTAAGGAATTACTTATTTACAGGGTAACTGAGTGTCGTGAAAATCTAACCTGAGCGATTTCCAGCCGATAAAAAACATCACTGAAGTTTTGTCCTTGACAAGCAAGTCCCAATGACCCTGATCACTTCAGCATGACAAGAGGTACCTCTATACGAGTATCAGCCATTGGAGCCAATGCATCGGTTAGCATTTTTGTATCCCGGTAATTGTCACATTTTTTTCTGACGAGACAAGGCATATCCGGGTGCTGAAAAACTGGCAAGGGCACACTCAAACGGGCCGGGGGTTATGCGGTGTAGCTGCTGGCTCTACCAGAACTTACCATGAGCTCTGTTCAGCTGTTCGCCAACATTCAGCGGCAGCAGCAGCAGCAGTAGAGGCTGACGGTGACGCTGGATGGTTCTCTGGTCTCGTATTGCTAGAGACGAGCTCCTGAAGAGGCGGGCCTCACTGCACGGCCCACCAGCCGAGAGGATGCTCTCGCCTCCCCTCGGACCCAAGGATTCAACCCACATACACTGACTAACGCCATTCTACTCTCAACGACGGTCGGCGCACTACCGTGCTACACTACTGAAGCTAGACTAGAAACTGCGGCTGCCTGCCGCCTGGTAGCGGTAGAGCAGCGGGCAGCCCGGCTCTGACACCAGATGCAAAGCTCGCCACTTGGCCGAAAAAAAAAATGAATTGGTCAACATAGTTAGCTGGCGCTATGCCTCAGATCAAGAGTGAACATGGTGAAGCTCATAAGTCGCTCGGCTTCTATGGCATTGATTACTTATCGAGGTAATAACAAGACGCTGATTCTTGTTCCAACTGCTACGTCAGTTAATCTCTGTTCAATATATAGCCTGGAAGATAGTCCGTTGTTCGTAAAAGGTTAATATTTTCCTTTGAAGGATTCCATATGCATTACACTTTATTTTTACATGCAGTGGGAAAACATCAACAGATAAGCACACCACACTCTCGCAATATCACCGAACTCTGACCACAACACTTCGCCTTTCGCGCGTGTCCCACATTAGTCCGGGGAACTCTTCGCGGCTGTCTTCTACAACCCCCGTTCTCCCAACCTTAACCGCTGAGAGCCATGATAAGTAAACCCGACCCGAAGCTTATCCCCCCTCCCCCTCCCTTAGGTCCCACAGCGCCAATGGCATTAGCAGTTACATCCGTCGGCAAATGTCCGATCTCACGCGGCGGCCGGCGGCGGCTGGTTGGCGCGGCGGCCGCCAGGGGCGCTGGTGTCGGCCGCGGCGCGGACTCGTACCTGTGCCACTGCATGGTCCAGCCGTCGGGCGCCGAGTCTCGTTCCCGCTCGGCGAACGCGGTCACCTGTGCCTCCAGCCAGCGCAGGAAGTAGGCGGCGCGCAGGTCGCCCGACTGCCAGGCGGCGCACAGCGTCTGAGGAAAGAGCCGGCAGGTTAAGGTCAGTCGTCGCTTGGTAACGAGCAACCTGCGCGGAGGGGACAAAGATCAGGCCAAGCAATTTTAACTGCGAAGTCTCCACCGAATCTGAGGTAAAGGTCACTGTAAATCGATAGGGGAACCAAGCCTGGGTATCACGTCAAACACAATGCAATCAATTTTATGAGTGAAAACAACTGTGTAAGATAAAAATGTTGACTAAATCATCAACAATAAGATTCAGAAGCCAGCAAAGCATAAGTCCCAGTGGCATCCTCTTATCTCGACTAGCCTAAACGACCCGCCTTGCCGTCCATCCGTCACCTTACCTGAGTCTGGATGGCGAGCACCTTGACGGGTGACACGGTCTCCAGGCCGACGCCGAGAAACTCCAGCTTGTCCACAATCTCCTCCACCATGTCGTTGATCCGGTCCGCGTCCTCCGGGTCTGAGAGAAAACGGCCAGAGAACAGCTCAGTGCAATCACTGGGGCAGAGGCAGGTGGGCGCAGTGCAGTAAGCACTGAATAGAAAGGACCGGATTATCGATCATATACATTCGACATTGATAAATTGGTCCATTCATTCAATATCTGTAACTAAGCTCCATTGGCTAATTCAACAGTAATTAACCGACTGCCGATCTGATCTGATAATCATGAATCCGCTGCCAAACAGCATATGTTAAATCACTACCTCACTCATCCAAATCGCTTGGCCCACTTGTGACCTTTTCGGTACTCACCAGCACGAGAGAACGCCGCAGCTGACTCCTGCTCCTTCACCACCTCCTTCGCCGGTTCAGGGGCCGGCTCCAACGTGCCTCCCTTCTGGAACTGAACGAACCCTCGCTTGTCGCCGGCGGCCGGTCGGCGGGGGCGGTCCTTCTGCGGCGCTTCCTCCCAGGCCAGCCGGTCAGGCGGACCGGCCTCGTGGTACCCGAGCCCAACACAGGTACCGTCCTGTACCTGAAGTGTCGGAGTCTCGTACGCACCCGCGGAGAATGTCGTGTAACTGGAGCCGGACGGGGGAGGCGACGGAGCCGCAGGGGCTGGTTTGGTGACTGGTGGTTTGTCTTGGTTTGGTTTACTGGTGGTCGGTCGGTCTGACAGTGGTTTACTGGTGGACGGTTTGGAGGTCTCTGGAGGCGGCGGGGCCGGAGCTGCAGAGGCTGATACAGCTGGAAATAGACTGGTGGCTGGTGCTGCCGTGGCCGGGCCGGCGGTAGCTGCGGCGGGGGGCTCGCCGCTCTCTGCTGCCGCCACCGGTGAAGGGACGGGTAGCTCACCGGTCGGCGGCAGCGCCGGGCCGTAGACAGGCGAGCTCTCCCGCTCACTCGCCGGTCGAGGGGAGAGCGGGGGCGTGCGGTCCGTCGGACCCACCTTCCTCTTCCGCCGAGTCCTCGACCGAGACCCAGAGTCACCAGACCGTGAACTGGGGTCGGAGTCGGAGCCCGACCGCGAGTCCGACTCCGAACCGGACTCGGAGTCTGAACCGGAGCCATAGGAGGCGATTAGACCCATACCCTGCACAGAGCGAGAGCGACGGCGGGACGAAGCTGCTGGCTCTGACGGCTTAGTCTCTTCTTGCTTCGTTTTGACTGTCTCCACATTCTTCGCCTTTGGTTTATCTTGTGTCACCACCTTAGGTTCATTCTCCTTCTCCGGTTCGTCAAGGTCCATCGCCTCTTCGCCCCCTTCAATGCCAGATTGTTCTAACTTATCTTCAGAATTGGCCTTGCCACTCCCCGACCCCTCATAATCCGGAGGCATCTCATTTTCGATAGCCGATATGATGTCAAGAGTCGAGTCTGCATTGGGCGAATCGGCCTTCTTCTCCGCAGGTGCGGTGGACGCCGGAGAATCCACAGCCGGCTCATAATCAGGCGGCATCTCGCTCTCAATCGCGGAGATTATGTCCATAGTTGGGTCTTCAGTAGCGTCCGAGGCTGTCTTGACCGCCGGGGATGTCGTAGACTGTTCGTAGTCCGGTGGTTGCTCAGCTTCGATCATGGCCAGTAGATCATCGGCGGGCTGCGGCGCGCTGGCTTCATCCTCCAGGCGCGACTCCTTAGCCGGAGGACCGTCTTCCGTGGCCACCGCGGCTCGGGAGCGGGCCTTGCGGCGTCGTTTGCGCGATCTGGACGAAGTCGACCGCTCATCTGAAGGTTCTGAATCCTCCGATGGCCGTTCAGCTGCAGGTGCGGGACTCGAGACAGCCGGTTCGGGCTCTTGTTCTGCATCTGGCGGCACCTCCGCTTCAATGGCCGCTAGGATATCCAGTTCGGGCTCCGCCACCGGCAAATCCGGCTCTGGCTTTGCGGTTACCTCCTCCGCTTCTGGCTTCGTCGGCTTGGTCTTCTGTTTCTCGTCTGGCTCTGGGTCGGTGACTAGCTTCTCCACGCCGCTGGGCAGCTCCCCGCCGAGCTGCCGCAGCTGGGCGGCCCGCTCCCGCAGCTGTGCCAGCAGCTCAGCCTCCTCCTCCTCATCCCCAGAGGCGGCTGCCGAGCCGGCACCGGAGGCCGCCGCTGAGCCAAGCGCCGATCCCGCGCCGGAGCCCAGGTCGGCAGCCAGGTGAGGCGGCAGCACGGGGCCGACGAACGCAGCCGCCGTGGTGCCGAACGGGCCCATCGTCAGCCGAGCCGGCGCCGGCGCCTCCGGGGAGGGGGACCGCGACGGCCGCTCCTCCGCCGCCGGGGGCAGCGCCGGCCCGTACACGGGAGACGGCGGTCCGGCCGGGCCGTATACCGGTGACGCAGCGGACGGCAGTTTGGGTCCGTACTCCGGAGAGGGTAATTTGGGGCCGTACTGCGGCGAGGGAGGTTTCTTGGCGCGCGGCGGGGAGCGGCGTCTGACGGCGGCGGGTTTCCGGGGAGGTGGTGCTGGCTGCTCATCCTCCGATTCATCCTCAGTCGAGTCGCCGCCGTAAGAAGTGATCAACTGGATCCTGAGGACACCGAGACAGTACGTTACAGGACAAATAGTGTGTTTACGGGACTCAAGAAATGAAATGTGAAACTTTATTATGCAATGTGACCCAATCAGCTTTATCGCTTCCTGAATTATTTACTGATAAGATAATCACCTAGCAAGGATGACACGAGATTATAAACAACAATGCTCACGGTTTTTGTATAGATATTTGGTATAATGAGTTTCAGGGCACATAAGTTAACTATTATATAACTCTCCCATTTCTCTCCCCACACCGATTACACCAGCTCCAGCTAGCAAGCTGCAGGCCCACTCACCCCTCCTCCATCAGGCGTTTGGGTGTGGGCTCCGGGTCCGCCGGTGGTGGCGGTGGCGGTGGCGGCGGCGGCTGCAGCAGGCTGCTGATGTCCACCGGAGGCTCCCAGGACACCTCGTTGGTGGCTGGGTTCCAGTAGTACGTGTAGCCGGACGTCTCGTCCACACAGGGCTGCCACTCGTTTGGGTATTCCGCGCCTGTAATCCACACAACATTTGGTGATAAAAGATCCTTGTCTTGACTCCAAATCTTACAGAGTTTCATGGTAATTATGGTAATTATCAAAACTGCCACCGGGTGAATAAACATGCATTTGAGAGGCATGTCAGACAAGCAATGATGGAAGGTGGGCTCCCACTCATCAAATATCTTTGACCAAATAGGTACCAACATTGAAAAAAGGCATTCCCTGAAATGCTTAATTTGAATTGGGTACTTGCAGTGACTTTACTTGAGCAGTAACTGCAATGAACCACTTTTATATTTTTTGCTGTATTTTCACTTCAAGGCTTGTTACTGTTATCTAAGATTGTTGTTACTGCTTTGACTTTTTTTGTAGAACAAGTAAAAGTGTCAAAGTGATAAATTGGGCAATAAATAATCTAGGAAGTATCCTACAAGAATAGCTGTCTAAAAATAATGTGAGCAGTGAGCACTAAGGACAAGCCAAGATCTTCTAATACAAAATCATAAGTATGACACCAAAACTCTGGTGAAAGTTGGCAGGTGTCTTATCCAAATAATTCAAAGCTCCCTCCTATGACTTAAGTTAACAAAAAAGCAATCATTACAGGCAGAGTCATAATACCATACAACAAAATAGACAAAACACTACCTCTTGATTCTTGGTTCTCACTGGTGCAATTTATCATGCTCCCCAGAATGAATGTAACAGCCCACACCATCAGTCAGTACGAGAACATAGCAGCCTTACAATGCATGATGAGATATTGGCAATGACTTCCACACAGTTAGGTACAACAATAGCATAAAAAGTGACACACATGCACATAATTCAGCAACACCATGCAAAGCAGAGGAAAAACTAAATGGAATTTACATACTTACCATTATTTTCAAAAGCTCCTGTGTTTGCAGCAGCAGCTGCAGTAGAGCCATCATCATTTGGTCCTTCACTTGAGCTGATAGTTGTCATATTGATCTCTAGAATTAGATGGGAAGAAAATGATAATGAGATTTATTATTAGCACAGTTCCAGTTTCAGCATAAGCTAAGTAACTAAGATAAAATGAATTTGAAGTTACTGTTAAACACTTGATGTTAAGGCATCCAAAAGACAAAATCAGTTGAACATAAATAAAGTGAGTACATCCTCACTCAATGTAAGGTGTAAGGATGATCGGCTATTTAGTTTCAGTGCGCCAAGTTTTTGCTCACTTTCCTCTTCCTGGAAGATGAAAGTTGAGACCCGTTGAGGTGAGATACCTTACTAGAACAAGAAAGTGTCTCAAGACTCAAGTTAGCACCTTTTATGCTATCTTGCTTGTTTTCACATTCAGAAACCTTTCAACAGCTGTTCCATCTGTTTTTAGATTGTGTTTCACAATTAAAACCTCACATTAATATAATTGATGTGTTGTTGGGTGCTGATATGAGACATTTGCAACTGATATGGAATAAATGTTAGCCCACACAAACACTGGCGGATCCAGAAAGGTCGCCTTGGATGCTGCAGGGGCATAGGTACCATACCCCCTAAAGGTTGAGGTTCCTTAAAATCCTTAAATCTCTAAAAAATCCTTAAATCCTTAAAAAAAATCCTTAAAAATCCTTAAAATCCTTAAATCGGATTAAGATTGGTTACACATTGCTGTGCAATTTGAAACAAGCTTTTCCCAATGAAAATTTAGTTTCTGCTTTATTCATGAAAAATCACAAATTTTCGTCGATTTCAGGCTCTGCAGTCCGCGGGTGGTCATTTGCCCCAAACAGGTCCCCCGGATCCGCCATTGCACACGAGGCTCCAACTCATTTAAGACCTTTTCAGCCCAACTTGAGATCAAATCTGGGTATAATACGCAAAAGAACAATTAAAGCGTAACATACATACACCCTATCTAACCCGTCCCAAGGTAGGTATATAAAAACACTGATCTAACCCTTGAGCAGTTACATATATCGCCTTGCAATAAATTCACGGTATATAGAGAACTGAATCAATTTTGCAAGGATTTTTCACGCAAATATACACCCTAATCTCACCCAAGGTATATAAAAACACTGATGTAACCCTTGAGCAGTTACATATCAATATCGGCTCTCTCTATCGTCTGGAGGTTTCGAAAGATGCTCTCCAGAGATGGCGCTAGTAAATTTGGCTGACATGACGTCATGCTAAAAAGTGATGGTTTTTGTGAGAGCAAATGTAATAATAGTTGAAAATTTTGTACTTTTGCTTAATTAAGAAAAAATAAATATACAATTGTTCAAAACAGCGTTTTCTTCATTCATCCTTCATTGTTTTAAGAGGAATATAGACAGTTTAAATATTTTTTCTTGACCGCAATTCGCACACGCACTAAATTAAAAGCTGGAGTTTTGTGCGTTCGTAAATCGTGATTTGAGAAAATAAGTTGACAATAATCTTTTGCACTTTTGCTTTACAATCATTTTTCAATGCAGATAAATGCATAAATTATTCGAAAATAGGCATATCTTTGAAATATTATGATTTTCCACAAGCAAATTTTCCCAAAAACTTGAACTACTTACAACTGACGAACGCATCCAATAATCTGGATGTCTTAGGATGAGTTCGTCATTTTTTCCGAAGGAAATACGATACAGTTCAAGCTATTTTACCGATTTATTAGGGTACTTTTGCCAATGAATTAATAAATAAATGACAACAATTAATCTCATTATCAACCATACTCGGAAGAACTTTCTTCGCATAAGCGCGAACACATCCGCGCTTTCATGAAAAGTCACGCCTGTAGATGTCAGGACTGCTGCTTTATGTTTCGCAAGGTGGCGCAGCGCGCAGGGTACCGACTACCGAGGCTGAGGTCTCCAGACTCTCCACCACGATTTAACTTGGAAATGGCCGATGGGGAAGGTCTCACCCAAAAACGGACGCCCTTTTACACAGCTGCATAAAGAGAATGAATTATTAGCATAGCTGACCACACGTCCCCTCCCCCTCTCCGCCCCAGCTCAATAGGAAATATCGCCTATTTTCCTTAGTCAGTTATATTCTGACTAATTTCTCACTCTTCCCAGTAAACCTTAACATGCATGATGCAGATGTCCACTGCGTAAGTCGTGTGCTTTCGTAAGTGTGCCAACTATATAGTGTTGCCTGCCTACACTCTACAGTACAGCCTACTGCTTCCCCATTGTCGTTATAATTGGTGATTCTCAGGTCAAAAGTTACACAGTGGTCTCAGAGAACAATCGTTTCAACAAATTAACGATTCAAACCGTTGCATTCTACTTATATTCCGGTCAGTTCTGCTACTAAACGATTCCGGCAAAACACTCTTTAGGTTATGTATTAGCGAACCACCACACAAAATTCGCCCAATCAATGGTCAGTTATTACTGCTGGGCTGAACCGTCATACGCTATATAGCCTATTATATAGCCTAGTCAATATTTTCAGAACGATACTGACTGACGAAACACAACGTATTCGCGGATTCGCACATACGTTGGCACCCAGGTGGCCTGTCAGCAGCCGCACAAATCCGCACAGCGCAGCCGGGATTTGACATTGAGATGGTACACCGTAAAGCATGCCTTTCCACACAGGCACAAGCACAGGGACACAAATTCTCAAAATCCAAACTTATTCCAATACTGGTCAATTACGAATAGGCATAAAGTTTTGAGGTTTTCTCATGTTCATTCTTCTTTCAACACACGCGGCAGACTGCAGCAGCTGCAGAACATCTCACAGAGCTGCGCTGGATGCAGTCATGAGCTGGGACACGGTTTGTGACCAATGACCGATCGGGGGTGCCAGCCTCCTCCCGGCACGCGATGCACTGGCCGCCGCGCAGTCGATGTCGGGGCACCGCCGGCATTCGCCGACAGGGTTCCATCCGATTCGGTGTATTGGTGGCAGCCCGAACAGTGACCCACGCGAAGCTGGCGGACGTCGATGGCCGATGAGCGATGCCCTTCCGCGACCGGCGGTGGCAGTCGGTCCCACATCAAGAACAGATACCAGTCATGCGGTCAGTCGGCGACGGCGCTGTCGCGAGCCGATCTGATGGTCGCGCGGTGGGCGTTGCCGACGTCCACCGGGACCGTCGACTGGGGGAGCGCGGCCGCCTCTTGGCCGCCGCCTCTGGTCGGCGAGCTCGTTGCGCTGTGGGACGGCATCCACTGCAAGTCGTTCACTGTGAAGCGGTCGTTTGACCGGACCTGGCAGGCGGGGAAAGGGGGCCTCAGATGAAGTAAAACCATCCCTCAGGCCAGCTTGAACTGGCTCTCCACCTCACCATGTTAGATAAGCGGACACCCTCGTGATCATCGCAGCGATGATTGCCAATTGGTGTGTCATTATGGGAGAGGATGCCAGCCTCCTTTGCAAGATAGTCTGCCTTTAACATAGTGCAGCCCGACCCATTGCCTGTGGCGCAGACTGGGCTTGATAATGCAGTGCAGGACACACCAAACGTAAGCGGCCATCTGTACCCCCTGTGCAGTAGGGCTGACTCAAGAGCCCAGAGTTGCCCTCCCCCCCACCATTCTGTGCACGTGATAACTGGATGGGACATGCCATGGTCAGCATCTGTTCAAAAGCTGCCCTAAGCATGTAAAGCTCCAGTGGCATGCTCAAGCATGGTCACAGTCAGTTCTCACTTCTCAGTTGAACCTCCAATGGAAACCCATCACAAAGTAGAGATCAGGGCGCCTCTCACACTGCAGCACACTCAACGACTGAGGCACCATCTCATCACTTGCAGGTGGTTCTTGCCAGGAGCAATGCCAGCCACGCACATCAGGTGATAACAGCAGTGTACAACTGCAATCTACAAGCATCCATGTTCTTTCTGGTTTTCTCCTGTTGAGATCCACTGCCATGCATGAACTTGATGGGCTTTTGTTGCGCTCCTCCCATGTGCAGACAGGTTTCTGCTGAAACAAAGCAAAGCAAATGTGATTAATAATGGCCCTGTTTCACCATCCAGACACTGTGTGCACTGGTAGCTACGGCATACCATAGCATCACTCAAATGACGTTGCATGTGACCTCTTAGTTTATGATCAATCGCGTTTGGAACAGAGTGAGAGGTTCTGAAAAACCGTACCAAGAACAGAGGTTTGAGTTCAAATACTGCTAGCATGCTGCTGGTGCTGGTACCGCAGCGTGCTAGCGTTCTGGGATGCTGTCATAGCTTAGCGTCACAGTGAAGTTTGTTGACACTGCCATGGAAACCCAATGCTCTGACACACGCAGCGCACTGCAGTGCTGAGCACTGCAGTGCGTGCTCTGCCGTGAAACACCACCCATGAACGTTGGTTGCATGACCAGGATGGAGCAGTGTGGCAGACAGTGATTTCAATTTTAATTGCACTTCCTAGAGATTAAAATGTTGTTGGTGAAATTGCTATTCATTATTCCTATTACCATTGTCTAAATTTCACATTTTGATTTCAAGACAGCATCAGCATTGACATGTTATATAAAATAAGGTTTAGACTTCAGGTGGTCCCGGGTTCAGCTATTAAGTAAAACAAGGGCAAAAAATTGTCAAAAAAATATTTTTAAAAAATACCTGCCTTCATCAACACCTCATCTAATCTAACCTCATCCTCATCTAACAAGGCCCTAATAGCAAAAACCGTTTGAATAACAATGTAATATTTTGCAACCGCTGCACCATTACTGTCACGTACGCTATCCCTAGATTGGTTGCTGGTAAGTAGTGGTTGTCGTCATCAACTCGTCATGCAGCAGCTGATTGGGATGGGCGGGGCCTATTTTTATCCAGGCGATAGAGAGAGCCATAAATTCACGGTATATAGAGAACTGAATAAATTTTGCAAGGATTTTTCACGCAAATAAGGATGGCTGATTACATGGGTCTCTTACGTCATCAAAATAAACAAATGCGTAGCCAGGCAAATAATAGCCGGACTCCTCATTCCATGTTTTCTGGTAGTAAAATCAATTTGTTGATGAGGAACGGATAAAAAAAGCTAGATAAGGAATATTTTTGACAACAAACCACAGGGGAGCAATGCCGCTTCAATCCTATTGGCCGTGGTGTCTAACGGTCGCGGCCATATTGCGCAGACCAAGAACCGGCCGCCGCCTGTGTTGAGGAATAGGGAATTCGGGACCTCGATTTACGTTTGCGGCCGCCGCATCCGTTACGTTCAAGTTACGTAGATACGGAACCCGGCATCTTACGCAGAATTGAATGGGGAACACGATCGTATCTTCAGAATTCCTTAAATTCACTCGCCGGACCTACATTTGCCCCGGCCGAGGGGGTTGATTGAACCCACCTCGCTAATGCGCCGCTAATTTAACTAGAATTAAGCGGTTAAGTGGTCGTATGCGGCAAAGTATAATGCAGAGTGACTGGTAGGAACCCGCTGTACAGGTCTCAGGTCAACCGGTGACCTCTGAGGTCAGGTCAAGTGATCTAAGGCACGGGTTCGGTTTTTGGTAAATAACTTCGCCAAAAATGGCCGTAGAGCCGCGATTTTGGCATCATCGTGTTCAGCTAGCTCAGGCGCATCGAATGATATACTTTTTGTTCGGGTCAGGTCAACTTAGGATGTTGACCTCAGGTCAAGGTCAGGTCAGCACCCCCAGGTCACGAAGTTGGTCGAAAGAGGTCATGTCGCATATCATTCGATTCGGCAGGTCTTCCTCAGTCCATTGGTGGCTTTCCCGACTCGCTAGCTCAATTTAATCGGGAGTTATTGAAGTAAAATTGTGACCCTTGTGACGTCACAAATGACGTCACGCAAGGGCAACAATGTAAATATGAAGCATAGAACCTTGCAAGGAGTGCATGAAATCAAGATTCTATGTGCTTGAGATAGTTTCAGATCATTCTCGGCGCCAAAATAGCAGTTTTCATATTTCCCCATTGACTTATAAGGGTTTAAAGGGACCCTCCCACCTTCAAAAAAGTTAATGAATTGGCATGAAAGTGATGTCGCTCGGTTCAGAAAGAGCAAAAACGAATATCTACCAAATTTCATCGAAAAATATTCACCGGTTTTCAAGATATTAGACTTTTACTTTTGTTTACTTTTCGGGATCTCCGCTGTTCCTAGCGACTTTATTTGAAAGTGCGGCATT